TATACATAGCTCGTAACAAAACTGCCACTACAAGATTAATGTCTAAAGATAAAGTAACGAGAAAGGGATACAATTTTTCCTCAAATAGTGCCAAACAGACAGACAAAGCGAGCATCTGTAGTTTGATCGCAAGCAGAATCGACACTCATGCAAATTCAGTACAAACTTCACTAGTGAGTACAGACCCAGACTCAATAACAGACAACCAGCTGAACGCAGCACGCTAGTACATCTGCCACACCGACGTGGTGAGAGGCAATATAGCAAGGTTCTACTCGTACACTCACACTCACACTCTGTTGAGAAAGCGTACCTACACTCACACTGTTGATTGACACTCACATACCCAGTGTGCGTATTTGTTGGGGACGGTAAACAGACCGAAGAACGACGACACGGTGTTAGGATTCGGATTAGTGGCTTGCAGCACCACCTTCATACCAAACAGCACTCCACTAAACCCCAGGCTGCAGTCAGACCCAACCATTGGCGCGTCTATTTATAGAACGGCAGTGTTAATGATTGGAGTATGAGTGGGAGAGTAGATGCATTTAAGCGCGTGCGTGTGGGATATATATATATACAGCTATGTGCATGCCTGAACTCTGCAGATATGTGGTGTACTTTAGGCCGGATAACTCGTTTGCATGGCTTTCGCATGGGGATTAGACCTGAGATGGCTGAGCAATCATGCGAGCCACACTCTAAGTAGTTTACGTGCACTACCTCGCCATACACAGCTGTATCAGCTGACGATTACAACAGTCATGTGAATCGGTTCTCACTACGACATGCACCATATATATATATATATATATGGATGTAAATATATGAATATTTACATTTGGAAGTAAATTTACAAGCAAAGCACATAAGGTCAACGAAAACGGGCTACCAACAAGTACTGTATGTGAATGGTTTAGACTTATGTACTGATACGCATTCGCACGAAGAGCTCATTTCGATTGAAGTCCACCTCATTGTACTCAACACGGCACCGTTTCTGAAGGAAAGGTAAAAAGCAGGGGCAACTTTCGTACCCTTCACTATGGACACCTATAGATACACACACACACACACATACATACATATATATATATAAATATGTGGAAGTAGTTATATACATAACGTGAAATACTTACGTCGACCGAAGACCATCATCAGCGTCTCCACCACAAATACGTAGATGAGTGATTCTATAACGACGATGGCACCCAGCACCCCCACATACAGTTGCATGCCTAGCCTGGGCTCAAGTTGCATGCCCTTGTGTATCAGTGAGACCATGTTGTAGTACAGGTGGAAGTCGCTGGCATGGTAGAAGGCGTGCGTCACTCCTCGGTAGGCTGTGGGCATAGTGTCAGAGATAGCCGTGTGTGACCGTGGTATGGTACTGTGTAGTCCTTGTGGTTAGGTATCAGTGCACGAGTGTTTGTGGTGGTGGTGCACGGTTTCACAGTATTTACGAATAGGAGGCGTGTGGCTCGATTGCATGGTTGAAGATGCGTGTGTTGTTGCTTAGAGATCACTACACAGAGACTCTTTCATAGTTATTACTGGCAGCCAAGTTAAGAATATACTACACGGGGAACACACTCGCCAGCATAGCGCTAAGATAAGTTCACGAAAGCATGACCAGGGGAAGGAAGGGGGGGGGGGGTTGTGTTTGAGAGATGTATTGGAATGTACGAAAGGTGTATTGGAATATTTGAGAGAAGTATTTGGAATATTTGAGAGATGTATTGGAATATTTGAGAGATGTATTGGAATATTTGAGAGAAGTATTTGGAATATTTGAAAGATGTATTGGAATATTTGAGAGATGTATTGGAATATTTGAGAGAAGTATTTGGAATATTTGAGAGATGTATTGGAATATTAGAGAGAAGTATTTGGAATATTTGAGAGATGTATTGGAATATTTGAGAGAAGTATTGGAATATTTGAGAGATGTATTGGAATATTTGAGAGATGTATTGGAATATTTGAGAGATGTATTGGAATATTTGAGAGATGTATTGGAATATTTGAGAGATGTATTGGAATATTTGAGAGATGTATTGGAATATTTGAGAGATGCATTGGAATATTTGAGAGACGTATTGGAATGCTTGAGAGATGTATTGAGACACGGTTTAAGTGTTCGCGCGGAAAGGTATACACATGGCATGCACTACGAGGCCTGGCTTATGAAGCCGGTTTGAAACAAGCTATGGATATACATCCACGCCTCACATGCATATGTACGGCCACCGAAATTATTAGTAATATCTTTATATCAAAAGGAACAAGGTTATGATGCTCAATGCTTTGGGCGAGCTTGCGCAAGCTTCTTGATGCGCACTACTCCAGTCTGACTCCAAACGCCCACATAGTTGA